TTCAAGAAAACATTAAAATGTTCTGGAAACTTGTAAGAACTGCCAGGGGACATTCAAAAGAGCCTAGAATTAATGCTATAAGAGACGAGAACGGATGTATTCTTAGTAACGAAGTTTAGAGTTTAAAAAGATGAAAGGAATATTTTGAAAGTGTGTTTATGAGAGACTGACGTATGAACTAAATGAAATAGAAATTCAAAAAGAAGAGAAAAGGAGTAACAAGATAAGCTTTGATGAAATAATGAAAGCAATAAAAAGTATGAAAGCTGGTAAGGTAGCCTGACTTGATAGAGTTTCTCTCGAAATGCTAAGAGCTGGAGAAGAAGTGGTGGCAGGCTTGCTGTACACCTTGTTTAATTTATGTTAAGTACTCAAGTGGGTACCGAAAGACTGGTGCTAAGCCGTGATAGTCCCAATATATAAGGGAAAAGGATCGCAGCAGGACTGTAAAAACTACCGTGGTATCAGCCTTCTTCGCATTGTGGGAAAACTGTATGCTAAGGTACTAATTGGAAGGGTCATGAAAGAAACTGATGGAAAAATTTGGAATGTGCAAGCGGGATTTAGAAAGGGAATGGGATGTACAGATCAAGTCTTTTCCATGCGCAAGATCGCAGAAAAGTTTTTGGCCAAAAACCAAAGAGTTGTTGCGTTCATGGACTTGGAAAAGGCTTATGACAGTGTGGACAGGAATGTGTTATTTTTTATTTTAGTTTTATTAATAAAGCACACAACCAGATTGACGATAATACAAACACATTTACAGTAAACAAAATATTATAACTAGTTTATAATCCAATAAAGTGTACACAGCAAAGCAAAATATGACAACAAGTATTAAAGAAAAAAGAACTAATAATAGATAGTATGAGTGACACTTAAAAAAGAACTTATTTAACTATATACTTATTCAGTGTTATGGCAAACACTGAATTAATTTGGGTTGAGCACTGGGTTGATACAGGCATTAAAGTCTCTTTATAGGGACTCTAATGCTTGTTAGGATCAACGTGGTCTACTCGGACTGGTTTGGCATTCAAGACAGGGTTGTGTGGCTTCCTCGTGGTAGTTCAACCTATTTGTAAAGTATGGGTGAGTTAACCGTCAATTGCCTTTTGTACGCCGATGATCAAGTTATTTTTGCGTCTTCGGCGGCCGAGTTGCAAATGATGGTTACATTAATGAACAGGTCTTTAAAGAAAAGGAGTATGAAAGTGAACGCAAGTAAGACGAAAGTTACTGTTTTTGAAAGAGAAGCAAGTGAAACGATATGTGAAACAAGAATAGAAAGGGAGTTGGTCGAGCAAGTGGATGAGTTCGTGTATTTGGGATGTGTATTCAGCAGGGATGGTAAATATGATAAGGCTATAGAACGACGAGTGAACGCAGGAATGAATAAAGTAAATGGGGCACTACACTCCATTGTGCAAAGTCAGAATGTGTCAAATAGGCACATATGGCAATTCATAATATGGTATTGAGAGTTGGGTGTGGGAGAAGAAGCACGAGAGTAGAATAAATGCAGTAGAAATGCAGTCCCTAAGGAGTATGTTAGGGCTGAATCTAAATGACAGGGTGAGAAACTGTGTGATAAAAGAATAGTGTAGTTTGCAAGATGATGCTGTGACAAGGATTAAGAAAGGAATGCTTCGGTGGTTTGGTCATGTAGAAAGAATGAATGAGGAAAGAGTGATAAAGCAAATTTATTTTGCAGAAGTGAATGGAAGATTCGGAAAGGGACAACCTAGGCAAAAGTTCATCGACCAAATTGGCCGAAAACCGACGAGCATGTAGGCGTGGGTATAGAACGTGGAGGAGGCGAGAGAGGTGTGTTAGGATCGTGGCAAATGGAAGTATGTAGTTTATCCCTACCCCTCTGGGTAACAGGCGTGAGTTTTTATTATTATGAAATAATATTCTTAATTGAATATTAATATTATTAATTACAAATTAATATTAAGCCAGTAATATTATTAATTACAAATTATTTTTGATGTTTCAACTTCGATAGTAGAACCAGTGACCGACATACCCCAACGGATTAGTAAGCTGAAGTGGCAATGGGCCGGCCATATAGCTTGAAGAACCGGCGACCAATGGGGGAAAAAGGTTCTCGAGTGGCAGCATCGTATGCAGGAAGTCGATGGATGCAGGTGGCTCAGGACCGTGCTTTGTGGCATTCCTTGGGGGAGGCCTATGCTCAGCAGTGGACTGATGATACTTATAAAAATAAAACATAAATTATTAAATTAGTATTTTATAATATATACATCTGTTACATCAAGAAAAGTAATTAAAAAGAATAATAAAAATAACAACTTAATTCTTAAGGTTGTGGATGTAAGGAAGAACGGCGGCGACTGTAGTGACACGTTCCTGTACGTTGCTGATTTGCGCGGATTCGGATTTTTGGTCTTGGACGTCACCAACGATCGCACCTGGAGGGTAACACATCGATTGGCTTTTCCTTTCCCATCACGTGGAACATTTACCATCGATGGTATGTATCTAAGATGTTTTCTGGGTGATTTCTATCACGGTGACAATTTGCAGAAGACGGAAGCTATTTACCGATTAGGAGACATAACGTTACATTTGTAGCACACATATAAGCTTGCTAGAGACACTCACTGGAACTTAACCTACTACTGCCCGATATAACACACTAGCCGATAAACGCTCACTTCGATGGGCGAACGTAACGTAATTATAAAATATGAAGAAAAATTGTTGTGGGTCTATTGTGAAATCCGTTCTTAGTTAGCATTGCAAAAGGAGCAACAATACTGAATTTCAAGTCAATTAGGTGCATAGTTTCAGATGTATCGTGGTGAGCCAGTAAGTCAATCAGTCAGTAAGTGTTTCGCTATATATATGTGTGTGTGTGTGTGTGTGTGTGTATTATATACAGGGTATTTTAAAACGATAGTACCAACGGTACCTTTGGACTTGGGACCAAAAGAAAATGGATCCCAATGAAAAAAAATCATCTTTTCACAACGTTTTACTAGCTTTATTCACGCTCCATCGAATTTCAATTTTCATGAAAATACTGAAAAATAAAATCAGCAGTGAAATTTCAATTACCTAGGTCCGCCGCAAATAATCCAACATTTTTAATTTCTTGTATATGCAAGTTTTCTTCCAATAGTTAATCAGGCCCATAATAACAGTGCGATTAACTTTTTTAGTGGTAAACCACATACTAATAAGAAATAAAACATCTAGAATTTATTATGTTTTAGTTTTGTAGTGTTTGTTATGACTACTTCGTTGGTCTACTGATGGTATGAGGTCAATTGACAATTGAAATGGGACAATTGTCGAGGAGACAGCTGTCGTTTGCAAATGGTTGTCCCCAAAGCTAAAGTGCCGAATGTTCTACAGCTGTGCCATAATGGTCGTTCAAGAGTCCATCTGGGAGTTAAACGAACTCTGCTGAAGGTCCGAGAACAGTTTTACTGGGTCCATTATCATGACGATGTCGAGGCTTGGTGTCGTACATGTACAAGTTGTGCGACGTGAGGGGACCTCAGACACGTAGTAGAGGAGCACCGAAATTGTACAATGTTGGTGCACCATGGGATAGGACAGCCCTTGACATTGCGGAGCCGTTACAGAAAGGCGCAAGAGGGACTCCTAATATCGTCCATGTGGATCACCTGGCGCGTTATTATGGGGCCGATAATGCTCGGGACGAGCATGTCTTAGGAGGGGGTAGTGTTGCGCGGCTAAGTTGACATCTGGCACTAGCGCCATCTAGTGTCGAGTAACGGAGCGAGGGGAGAGCTTTCCAGAAAATGACATCACTAATCTTTCAACCGACAGCGCAATCTGTTGTCGAAACGAAGAACTAAGCTTCTGGAAGCTGACTCTCGAACTTTCGGCGCTTTGTCGATTGGTGCGCGTATTTACTTGAATGTTCTGGATGATTCGGTACTAATGTGTATTTATAGGCGCTGCAAGGTGCGATCGGGGAAGTATTGAATTTGGCGAATTTGGAGACAAGCGAAGCTTCGGAGCGGAATAAAGTGAATTAGTGTGCTTAATTATTGGTGTTTTAAGTTTTAATTTGTGTAAAGAAAATTAAAGTGTTAATTTAGGTAATTCTATCGGCAATTTTTATTGTCACGAACCTCAAGCTCGTAACAATATATTTATTTCTTTAAATTTTTCTCTAAAAGACTATCGTTTTAAGATTGTAAATAGATCTCTAAAAGCCCTCTTCTTCAAAACAAAAATAGTTTCTAAATCAGCCGCATTTCCTCATAGCAAAGTTCCATATGAAATTATGCTATGGAAATAACTGGAATAAAAAGTCTGCGTGCTAGTTTAGTTATATGCGGGCAGTGGGGCCGTCGTATAAGCTTAGCGTCGAGAGTGAAGCCAAGAAAAACAGAGGACTCAATAGGACTCAGTTCTCGGATTATTAACATTTGTTGTTGTAAATTTAATACATTTAGTTTATTTTACACTTCATTAAGAGATTGAGGGAATAGATAGTGCACCTGTGCTTGTACATTGTAATGATGTACTGCGCAGATCGCTGGTCTCCGTTAAGTCTGGCTGTTTGCTTTTTCTGGTCTGGTTTTCTTCCAATAGTTAATCAGGCCCATAATAACAGTGCGATTAACTTTTTTAGTGGTAAACCACATACTAATAAGAAATAAAACATCTAGAATTTATTATGTTTTAGTTTTGTAGTGTTTGTTATGACTACTTCGTTGGTCTACTGATGGTATGAGGTCCCAGGTTCGAAAACACACTCGAGGCTGCTACTGGCAGTAGCTCCTACATCTGCAGCACTCTCGAACTTTCGGCGCTTTGTCGATTGGTGCGCGTATTTACTTGAATGTTCTGGATGATTCGGTACTAATGTGTATTTTAGGCGCTGCAAGGTGCGATCGGGGAAGTATTGAATTTGGCGAGACAAGCGAAGCTTCCGAGCAGAATAAAGTGAATTAGTGTGCTTAATTATTGGTGTTTTAAGTTTTAATTTGTGTAAAGAAAATTAAAGTGTTAATTTAGGTAATTCTATCGGCAATTTTTATTGTCACGAACCTCAAGCTCGTAACAATTGGTGTCAGAAGTGGGATAAAATCATGCCGATTTTACCTAAGGAGGAAACGGAGGGTGTCCGTACCCGAAGTCAACGCCAGCAGGAGACGGACCAAAGAAGATTTGGTGGTGCAACGCCGCAGACGTCGGAGGGCCAGCCGCCGGCTGCAGGCCCGTCAGTAGCTCCTACATCTGCAGCACCTATTTATTTATTTATTTATTTATTTGCTACTTAGTATGTATGTTACATGATATACTATTAAATACTATGCATACACACTAAGTCTCTAATGGAGACATGCAAATTTATTTATTCTTAGAAATTATATTTATACAAAATTAACACATCAAAATCAATCATTATTAAATCATTAAATTAGCAACAACAAACAATCCATCCAATTATATTCTAAAGATATCAAAAGTACCAAAAAAAAATTATAATTAACAAATAAAGTAAATTAAATTAAACAATATTATATACCTTGTCAGTTAATAACAAAAAAAAATGTCAATTTTGAGCTATAGTCCTATAAAAGTTTTCATCAGTAATTTAAAAGCTCGTTTACGGAGTAAAATGGTTTTTGAAGAAGCCACTGGTATAATTTTTTTTTGAAATGTTTTTATAGGAAGATCTTTTATTATGTTTGGTATTTTATTATATATTGTTTTACCCATCCAGTAACAATTTTTACTAAAGCGTTTACTTTTCGGTATTTCGCTAATTACTATCCGATCTGGGTATCTCGTGTTCATGGATACCACTTCTTTGTTAAGTTTATAAAAACTTTTCCCGTGTTGTTTTACAAATTTAGCAACTTCTAATATATATAAACAAGGCACGGGTAAGATTCCCAGTGTCTTAAATAGAGGTCGACATGAAACATCTGGGCCCACACCATGAATGGCACGAACACATTTTTTTTTGTGCAATAAAAACTTTATTAATCTCTGCACTGTTGCCCCAAATTATAATTCCGTAGCGGATAATCGACTCAATATATGCAAAATAAGTCATAATTGCAGTTTTTTTTGTTGCCACTTTTGTTAGTCTATAAAGCGCATATGTGAACCTGTTTATTTTATTACATATTTTACAAACTTGTTCTTTCCACTTTAATTCTTTGTCAATAATTATACCTAGGAATGTCATATTAGTTGCACTACAAAGAGTTTGTCCATTATAATTAATATTTATTAAATTATTATTTATATTATTGAAATTTATATATTGAGTTTTACTTAAGTTTATTGTTAAATTATTATTACTTAGCCATTTAGTTACGTCAAATATTGTTTGATTAATGTCAAAATTATGTTTTGTTAGTGACATATTTTTATTTGTTGTGACTATTACTGCGACGTCATCTGCGAATAAAATACTTCTATATTTAGTAATTTCAGATAAGTCGTTTAAGTATATCAAAAATAAAAGTGGACCTAGTACACTACCCCGAGGTACCCCAAACGCATTTTTTCTAAATTTGGATCTATAACTTTGACTTACATGTCTATTGTCAAGTTTTAGCACCTCAACACATTGATGCCTGTTTTGTATGAATGACTTAATCCAGTGATATGCTTGGCCTCTAATTCCGTTTTGATCTAATTTGAACAAAAGCTGATCGTGTGATACGAAGTCAATAGCTTTTGACATGTCAAAGAAGATGGCCGTAGTAAATAGTCCGTCGTTAGTATTTTGTAAAATATTTTTTATTAAATTAAAAGCGGCCAGTGTCGTGGATTTTGATTTTTGAAATCCATACTGAGTTGGATTTATTCTATTAAACTTATTTAGGAAAGTCATGACCTTCTTGTGCATGACCTTTTCAAAAATTTTTGATAATATAGGTACCAATGTCACTGGACGGTAATTTTCCATAAGTGTTTTTTTCTTCTTTTTTATATAATGGTTTTACAATAGACGTTTTTAATTTTTCTGGAAAGGTGCCAGATTCCATTGATAAATTAACTAAATAGGCTAATACTTTACTAATTTGATTTTTGCACGCTTTGATAACATTTGTACATATGCCATCATAACCTTCTGAATTTGTATTATTTAATGTCATTATAATTTTACTTATATCATATTCATCGACCGGTGTTAAATAAATTGAATTTTGAAGTCTATTTTGTGTATTACTGTATATAATTTTATTATTTATTTTATTTGTCAAATTAATATAGTAATTATTAAAGGCTTCAGCTATTTTCATAGGTTTAGTTATTATAAAGTTATTGTGTTTAATTAAGTCAATGTGTTTATCTGCTGCTATATGCCCTAGTTCATTCTTAATAATTTTCCAAGTTGATTTTACAATATTTTTACTATTGAGTATAAACTTATTATTACTATGTTTTTTTGCGTAATTGATGCATCTTCTTAGAAGCCTTGTGTAATTGTTATATGCAACTTTATTCTGATTTGTTTTATTAATG